TAATGTATAAAAATATCAGAACAAGCCCAAACTTACACAAAACCTTCCAAGTCTGGGGTTTCACTACAAATGTTAAGAGCAGTCTGGGCTGCTAAAGGCTGCTCCACTTTCCAAGTGGCACTTGGTGAGTATTTTTTTTTGCTTTAAATTTATGCAGGTTTTTAATGTAAGTTATATTGCTTTGTAAGACATGCCTGCCCTCAGACACTCAGCTCATTTACAATAAAAACATTGCAGTGGTTCCGCCAGCTGATGTTAACAAATGCAAACAAAACAGTTTTTTTCTGCCAGACTGAAAACCTCCCAGCCACTCTTGAACAAGGGCAGGACCCTGCAGTTCAGCAGGCTCTGGATCCTTCCAGGGCTGAGCATCATCCACAGGAGCATGATGCCTTCAGCCTTCAGGCACACAAATTTGAGGGCTGTCAGCTCTGGCCTCACAGTTAATTCCAGCTTCTGGGTTCAAGCCCAAGGCAAAAGGAAGCTCTCTCAGGAAGGTTTTGGGGCATAGTATATTTGCAGAGTGGCTTTTTTCATGATTTCACTGAGAAACCAAATGAAACCTGCTAGTGAAGTTGCGTGTGACCCTTTCAAAGCACTTTGGCAAAATCATAGTTTTAGTGGGACTGTATTTCGTATTTCAATTCAAGAGGATCTGGGTAGCTTCTGCAGTACTTTACTGATAACTTCAGGGTGACACCAGGGTTCTTACCTAAAAAAGATCTTTGTTCAAATCAAACTTATAAAAAGTGACCTGGAAATAAAGTAATATAGCAGTGTTTTATGAGTTTGTAGGAAGCTAAAATAATATTTCAGAGAGATGTGAGTTTTATACCAGTCAGATAAGGACTGTGAAGCTTAGTTTCAGCTTTTCTGAACTGCCATCAGAGCATTGCAGAAAGGCTAGGAGGGTCTGCATAGCTTATTGTGTGTGGTATTGTATTAACAGCATCACGTTTGTATGACTTTTGCACCACAGCAAGTACTTTACAGAATACTCATCAATCACGTCTTCCAACTTGCTTCCTTACTTCATCTTTAACTTGCTTTTCATAGTTCTGGGTTCAGGATGGGGAACTGAACTATCAGAGTGGTACAAAATTTAAGTACAGTTAGCAGAAAATTGAAGTTAAATCACAGCATTAGGAGCAAAACTTCCAACTGGTATACATTTGATAGTTTTCCTTAAGTAATATTTCATTTCACCTTGCAAAGGAGTCACGTGCCTCAATTTCTCTGTTGACAACATAACCCAAGGGTCTCCTGGATTCCCAAATCAGCAGTGAACTTACCGAGAGGTTGGCCAGTATGTCAATCTTTGATATGAAAATGCAGTTCCCTGTTTAGGATGGGAAGAGCTGGAGACATCCCCTTCCCCCCAAGACCGATGTCTCCTGTGAGAAGAGTCACAAGAGTGATATCTCTCTCTTCTTTTGACAGCTGCAAAACTTAAAAGCGGTGACTTAAGGAGGGGTGATAGATACTGGCAGACTGGCCTTCCCCAGTATAGCACACATCTATTCTTCCAGTATGTAGCGTGTAGCTCGTTACGGTTCTGTGCAGAATGATTTCCCTGCATGGCCAGGTGATGCTTAAGGAGACTAATGAGAGAAATGATACAGCCCAGAACACTGGTGTCAGGAAATATATTGCAAGGTGTCTATCTCAGGGAAGCTGAAAGCAGGGCTTGTCTTATTATATATTTCAAAGGGGATGTCTGTGTCACCACCAAGTTAGACATGCACCCTGTCCCATACTGCATTGAAATTACAATTTTTCAAATAGTATCTTTCATTTCGATTTTCATTTGCTTAATGATAAACTCTGTGTTGTACCAGGGCAAAACAAGAGCCTGTCTCACTGACACACCATTCTTTTGAAGCAGAAACTTTTTTTCCAATGCCATTGTAATGTAACTATGCAAGTGTCAGAGGACAGGATAGAGCCTATTATGGGCTTTTGCTTTTTGTAAGGAAAATCAAACAAATGTCCCTGATGGAAAAAGGAAGCCAGCAGCCATATGTGATGACCAGAGAATGTTTTTGTGCAGTGACACTTTGAGTACCTGTTTTGTTGTCAGACTGAACTGGCTTTTTTTATTTTTTATTTTTTTTTATTGCTGTCAACCTGAGTGGAGAAAAAAAACGTGAATTTTCATGAGATACCTTTTTCTCATTTCCAGCACTTAACAATCCAATTATATTTGGTTTTATGCTAGTGTTTGCCTCTATTGCCATTGTTAGGTTTTTGAGTCAGAGTGATTTTTCTATCCTGATGGTGCGGAAGAAAAATATGTTTCATTATGACTGGTTATAACCCTGGAAATCTTTTCTCTCGCTTGGGTTGATGACTATTTTTTATGTTGCATTCTATACTGATGCCTAAAGTGAAGTAGAATGAACCATAAGGAAGAGAATCTTTGCTAAAATATAGCTCCTTGAACGGTGTAGAATTATCTTGAACAAAGCTTGTATCTTTCCAATTTTATGCTTTTTTCCTCCCACTATTGCTCAAGTAGTTTTTACAAATGAATGTGGTTTTTGTCAGGATTGTTTATGAAACCATTGTTCTCAGCAACCTATGCTCACCTGCGAACAAATTGCATAGCACCGATAAGGTAGCTCGTTGTTTCTAGACTGGGTGACCTTACAAGCAGATTCTGTAACAAGACAAGCTTTTAAATTCCTAACCAAATATATTATGTGAGTAATAAAAAGAGCTCCTCAAAATGGCCACAGAGGCATTTCGGAGCACGTTCTTGGGAATATTCACTTATGCTAGCATTCATTAAGTTTGCTTTCAGCAAAAATTCTCGTGAATGAAATTTCATTCACTTGTCATTATGATTATGACTGTACTATCATGGCAATAACCATATGCTGTGTATAAGACTAGGACCTGATTTTGTCTAAGGTTGGAGAAACATCTTCAAGGGGCTCCGGAGAATGTATTGTCTAAATATAAGACCAGTCTCAGCTTACTAGTTCATGACTGGGGACTGCAAATCCTTGGAGAGCAATGGATTTGTTTACAAGAAAATTCACAGCTAGAGAAGGATGAATGCTAGAGAAGGATGAATCCTACTCCAAATGTGATACTATCTGAACAATATTATATTGCAGGGGTACAACTCCAATGAATATAGATGTAATTAGACTGTTATAAAGGTAGTTTAGGTGATGATGACTAGTTGTATGAATAAAAGGGAATATCTCTACAGATGCAGTTCATTACTATACTAGACTAGTGTATATCCACGCACTGATGAACACAGTAACCCAAATATACATACCAGAAAGCCCCCTGAAGTGTTGGCCATGCCTAGGAGCTGGACTGTCTGTCGTATGGTTTGTGGATTCCTAGCTTGTTAATAAAGCCTCTCCTGGAAACGTTGCATGAAATTTTTAGCTGTGCACAGCAGAAGTATGCATGGAGTCTTGTTTCCTCCAGTCTAAAGGAACATACATGAGTAGTGGTATCCTATCACTGGGGCAAAGTGGCCAGTTTGAATCTGGAAACTGTGCCTAAGTCTAGGCACAAGGATTTATTTGCAGAGCTGGAGCTTGTTCACAGAGCTCAATGTGTATAATGCTGCTTTGTGTGGCTTCACTTCTTGGGAGGAAAAGCACGTATCCTGTGCCTTGAAGGTAATGCCATTTGGCCAATTTGTAGAGTCCTTCAGCATGTGATGACTAGCACTGGTTACTATCTGGATTATTAACTCTTAGGTGTAGCAGGGTACAATATGCACTGTGGACATGGTTACAAGGTACATACTGTACACACGCAAAATGAAAAGTTCCTGTGGAGAGGAGGGAGGGAGCAGTTAAAGGCACAATGTATTAATTCCTTGTATTACTCAGACCCTGAAATAACCAAGTCCAAACAGTTTGTTGGCAGCAGAGAAAAGCACAAGACTAAATATTTCTCCTCTTTTGTTGTCTCACTGCTCTCTTTTCCCACATCATGTCGAAAAAAATATCTGATTTAAGTCCTCTGACATTTGTAATTAATTACTTCTTCCTTACTTTTATCTTGTTTGCCTGTCCTTTACTCTGGCTTTCCCATTTCTTCTTCATCTCTCATCAGATCCAAGAAATCATTGAAATGATTCCTTTTTAATAGATAAATAGCTCTACAGCATTTTTCTTTTTCTTTTGTAGAAAGACTTAGCCCTTTCTTTTGTCCATCCCAGTGCACAAGTTGTCATGTTCTGGCACTGCAGTCACTTGTAAGTCCTTGAGCTATCATGTATTCTGTTGGTATTTGAAGAATTGAAAATCAATCACATAGTCTTATGGCTTAGGTTCAGCACAATTCTATTATGCCCACTCCCAAAAGTCAATTCAAACCTTTTGGGTTATATTTCAAAGCCTAATCAAGCTTGCTGTCCAGGCTGGTTTGGAGTCAACTCATTCTTATCCATAGGTCTGTTTATTAGAGTTTTTCTGTCAGAAACTAGTGCAAAAGAAAACAGTTTTCATAACAGTAGAATCATTCAGTGGACATTTTGCAATGACAAGTCACCCAAACAGGTTTTTGTAGTACAGGAATGTTTACTGTTGTAAAGCATTTCTGCAAATACTTAAAGAAAAATAAACGAACAAACAAAAAACTATGTTGATATGCATTGATACAAGAATATTTACATCTGTACTTTCTCATTAAAAGCACCGTTTATTGAGATCAGTTTTTTAGTCCTGTCTTATTAAATTGGTACAGGAATTATTGTAGATGCAAACATAAACCTAGGTGACCTTTCAAACTTTGGACCATGTGAACAAATGTGTATGGTTCCTCCAAACAAATGGGCCAAAAAGGTGATGACATTTCCAGGTGGTTTATAGAAATCTCTTTTTTCAATGGAAAGTTGGTGGCCATTCTGTGGGAGCTGAGCACACAGTATAAATAGCAAACAGCTCTCTCCTTCCACCCTGCATGGGAAAAGGCACCATTCTGTGTCTCATTCTTTGTGCTTCCTCTCATCCTGTATTCTGCAGAGACGCAGAGATTTTCTCCAGTGGATGCTTGACTCCCGCAACTCGGCTGACGCCTTGGCAGCTGGCTGTTTTGATGTGATCAGTCCAGCCACCACTTCCAGCCAGAATGAGGTGCCTCCTGCTGGCAAGACCCCATCTGAAAAGGTTCAGAAGACATTAACGGAGGATGAGATAGCAGGCCAAGCTTTTCTCTTCCTGATCGCTGGGTACGAGACTACCACTAGCACCCTGTCCTTCGCCACGTACTTGCTAGCCACCCACCCAGAGTGCCAGGAGAAGGTGCTTCAGGAGATAGACGAGTTCTCAGCAAAACATGTGAGTACAATTCACTGGCATGGAGGGAGCAAGGCAATGTGGATATCGTGCCAATATGGCACCTGAATGACCCCAGTTTCCCTCATTTGTATACGCATCTTCTATTAACATATTATCAAGATTTTGCATATCATTACCTTAGTTTTCCTCGTTTTTAAGTGAAGGAAAAACAGGGGAAAGTTGTCTTCTCAAGACCTGGGCTACGTGGTGCTTTGAAAATAATAATATTCCATCTTTGCTGATGGTATGTCTTCTGGTTTTCTGTCAGACTGGCTTATAAGAGATAGAGAACCTACATAAAGTAGAGATTTTTTTTTTTTCAGGTAAAAATTCAAAATTATTCTATATTAGGGGGTTCTTTTTGTGCTTTTACTTATTTATTACTTTGAAACTGTTAAATGATGTCACTAGAGCATCTGAAGAGATGACTTGGGAACTTTGTGTCACGATGGAAGTTTAACCTTTACAAAACATTTTGCGTTGTTGAAATAAACCAGCTGTGGGTGGATTCTAAAACTACACAGTTTTATATTTTCCTGTTTTCCAGATGCTTTTGTTCCTTTTGTGGTAAAATTTATTTATTGATCTTTGTAAGGACACAAAAAGAGTTTATTAATCATAAACTTCAATGTCTTGCTTTAAATATTCATATTTTGTCTTTTCCTGTAGAAGCAGAATATGCGTGCACTTTAAAAAACATCACAAATATCTAATTATCTTATAGTGATTTTGAATGGTTTTTCCTTTGCTTTCTGTATTTATCAAGGATGTTCATATTTCCTGTAGTCCTGTTTTCCAGTATTTTGTGTATCTAGCAGACAATGTCGCAGCCATTCTTCTGCCCTACACTCTCTGCACAGGTTGTTAGCTAAGAGAATTCAGACTGAGTTGCTTGATCATCTTTTTGGTGAACTCTTTTATAATGGATCAAGAGGGTAACATGAGAAAAATGAAACAAGGATGAGTGCCTTGCAGGATTTAACTACTGATTTGCATATGGAAACCCTTAAACCCTTCCAGTTTTGGAAGTTTCATATTTTCCATGCATTCCGTGCACTGCGTTGTACTTACAGAAGTAGAAAAGTGTTGCATGATTATCTGTTTGGTTGGTAATACAAAGTAAATTCTTGATTATGCAAGAGCATGCCCATTCAAAAGCTACTGTTTCCCTCCTTTTGCTTGGGTAAGCATAGAAGCCAGGATTTCTGTACACAGAAAACATGTTTTGTCTTGCATGAAGATGCTCTGAAAGTGGTGGTTCTCCATCAAAGATTCCTTTTGCTCTGAGGGTGCAGATAGACAACAGCAGAGAGGTTACTACTGAATGATCTGATCCATAGAGCTTTTCCCCACTGCATGCTTCATATACATGTACCTCTGGTAGGAGTTAATACAATGAAACCATTGATGTTCTGTGTTCCAACTTACAGGACTTGGTTTACATTCTTAGGGTATTAGTTCTACAACACTCAAGCTGAAGAACATTTACTTGTTTCATTCAAATACAGACCTAATTATGCCCTCATGTCCAGTTCAGTTGACTTCCTTTAGGCTTGCAAAGCTGTGACGGTGCAACCTGGCCTGAAGTAAATGCAGTTTACTGGTTAATGCTGATGGTAGAATTGCACATAGAAATTCCTGTTATGTAGACCCAAGAACAATATGTTTTAACTCTTCTCCACTTCTTGAAAACTGTCAGCTGAAGAAACTAAAGTGAAACTGCTGGGAGAGATGTCTAAATATGATAGGTACATGATGTCCTTCCTATGCGTGGTCCGTAGATGAGCATAAGAATTAGTATACTTTTCCACGTAAGTGCATAGAAAGCTGATGAGCTATATTTGCCCTGCAAGCTGTCATTAACTGACTATTTGCAGACATTTTGTATAAGGAGACCATCTACATGGCTACATCTGCGTTAGCAAGCAGTGTGCTATTGTAGACACAGATACACAGTCAGCCACAGCTGGCAGGACTTTTGGGTGCACACTGTACACATCTCAGGAGAGTTTATTTTGGGTTAGTTCTAGTTGGTCCTGTGTACCAAAAGCCCTTTAGCTGTTGGAATGATCCTGTGGTTTAGCTGTCATTAAAGGAACCTTGGCTGTGCCCTTGGATTCTACAGTGAGAATCAAAGTGAGAGACTTGCTTGTATGCGTGCTCCTGATCCAAGCTGGAACGCTGACCTGTCCCTACATTGCATGTGGTCCATCTGAGCTGTCACTCATTGTTATTAGTATTTCAATAATAATCCAATTCAAATGGGCAACATTTGACTTTCTTGATTTTCTGACAGAAATGTTTGGCTAATAATTTCAGCCTTGCAGCATCTTGGAGAGGTTGTGGAGCTAGGAATAATCGTGACAGAGAAGTTAAAACTTGATGTAGAGAGATGGCACTCAAATGAGTGATTTTTTTTTCAGGTCTGCACTGCACCACACTCTCATCCCAACCCATGCTGTTCCATGCCATGTATTGATTGGAAGCAGTTTTAAATCACTTCCCCATACTTTCCTAATTCTCAGATTTAGCTGAGAATGTATATGGCTATATGGCCAAGGAGAATAGGGAGAGAGGGATAAATATTCACGTGCTGTCTTTTATACCAGGAAATTCATGGTTCTAATCTGTGTAGCCCCTTTCTTCAAAATATGTCTTTTTATAAACAGTTTATGATTTGAAGGGGTAAAATGAACTGTTCAAGGAGCCTATTCCAGAATAAAGGAAAGGATGCAGCAGCTCAGTCCCCTCAGTGACTGTAATTAACTACATTTAGCCCAGAAAAGAAGATCTATGCGGACAGTTTGCAAGTTACGGGAGCAGAAGCTATTTTAAAACAGGGAATATATAGATGCTACGTTCATTTGTCATGCAAGGGAGAGGGAGGGAGGGGGAATAGCAGCTACAGGCTCACAGTTCGTTATCAAGTCAGTTGCTAAGAAATTTGATTAGGTTGTAGTCTGTGCTCAGCACATCAGCTTTGCTCTTATCAAAGTGCTTTGCAATTTTCCAAAAGGGTTTTAGAAGGCCAAAACATGGAGAATGGTACAGCCAAGTTGTTTTGACAGGTGGCGGAAGACTGCTTTGATTTGCAGATATGCAAGTGTTAAACACAGTACCCGCTCCATCCAAATTTATACTCAGGTAATTATAACGACTAAATGCTCTCCACCATGTCCCCCTTCCTTCCTCCAGCCGTTTCAGTTGCCTCATGCAGCATGTTTTATTGCCCTAATTTGTGGTTGTAGAGCTGCGGTCTGATTTTACAGCAGCTGCTGCGTGTCATCCTGGGGATGGCTGTACTTTGGTGGTAGACAGAGTGATTTATGTGTAGATAGATCTAGTTTATACGCTAATTTACTAAAGTTTATAAAGACATGTGGGAGCCATCTGAGTAAAGGTGCTATAAATGACAGGCTCGGTTCCAGTTTTTCTGACACACCAGCCAAAAACTCAAACCATGGTGACCCTGCCATAGCCTGAAGGAGAGCAAGATCAGCACATCTGGGTGTATCCACAGTTGTTTGGTGGCTCTGGGTTTCATGCTTGAGGACACCCCTGAGTTTTATCTGGGTTTCATGCTCGAGGATACCCCTGAGTTTGCTCTGATCTTCATCTGTCTTGCTTGCCTAGTGGTTACCTTAGTAGAGCATGGCAGTGCAAGTGAGAAGGAGAAAGCTGATGCCCTGCTGTGTTGGAACCCTGTGCTAGTGTGGTTCAAGCTGCTGTGGTGTGGAGCAGGAGCAGTAGCTTGGGTACTGGAAGCAGGCTGGCCCCAGTGCTGTGCTGGGAGCCGGGAGCCTGGTAGAGAGGCAAGTCCAACTGGACTGTGTCATACTGATCTCCTGTGTCCTGCCACGTTTGTGTCAGACCCTGTCCTGGAGACCTCTCTGCCACTCTCCAGCTCACCTGAATGCACTGTAGAGATGGCACTTCCACGTAAGTGTCCTCCAAAAGTAATGTCTGGAGCGGGTTGTCACCTATTTTTAATTTAATTTAATTTATTTTACCTCCAGGACCTTCCTCATCTGTCTGTCAGAGGGCTGTTTTTAGGTCTTTTATTGGCTGACATAACATGGAGGCTGACATGATGTCTCTTTCCCTGGAAATGAGGAGAGGCACCTGGCCCATTTCAGAGTCTGTGGACCAGGCAAACAGGAGAAACCTCCACTCTCAGTTGTTGTAGAGGGCAGTACACACACGTTATTACCCTCCACACCCCAATCTGGATCTTTGGGGTGTAGGGAGTGACAGCACAGAGCTTTTCACCATCTCTGTGGAAGGAGAGAGACAAAGCAGTGTGTGACTGCTGTTACCACACACCACATCTTCCCTCGGGGCTGATGTAACAGGCACAGTCTTGGAGGACACACAAGTACCTGGAACGCGTTGCTGGTAAGGGAAGTGATTAGTTATTCTTGCAGTCATGTCAAGGTGCGTGCGGAAGGCAGCGTGGTTCAGGTGCTGTGCACTGATTTAGGAGATCAGGAGCCTTGCTACTAACTTCTTATTGAGCCATCTGTTGGGCTGTTTGTTTCAACTCTGTCTGTACAAGGAGCACAGTGTTTCTAAACACCAGTGGAACGGTGAGGAGAGGTAGAGATCCTTGTTTAAAGTGTGGAATACTGATGATATCTAGCTTTCCATATAGCTCTTCTCATATATTTTAAAACTGGTTCTGATTAGTAAGTGATTATTTTAGCAGTAGTAATTTACATTTGTTAGTCCCAGTGTCTGCTCCAATCGCATTGGAAAAGACGAGTTTAAGCATAATTTCTCTAACAAATAGACTGAAATTAAAATCATAGCGACTGATATGACTTGGTCCTCTTACTGAATCCTTTAGGAGTGTAGTACATGCCCCATGAAAGGACATCCACTGAAGATAAGATGGAAGTATTTGCTGCAAGCTTGTTGCTGAGTGTGCATCTTGCTTTGGTACTGTGAAGGTAAAGGCTGAATAAAGAAGATGAAAAGAAAGTTAAATATGAGCCAGTGGG